GCTGAAAATACTGACAGCAAGAGTGATTCATCCTGCTGACAATATAATTATGTATCGTTGAATAAACTAATCAGCTGCTGTATGTATGTTGTTGTTGTTTTTTGGTTGTTGTTTTTTTTTTTTTTTTTTTGGATGAGGATGCATCGATAAAGCAAAGCTGTGAGGATGTGTGTGGATTTTAGGTCAGTGACTCACATCAGGCTGACCTTGAATTAATGCAGAGCGAACACATTCGTGTGGAGACTCTGCACGAGATGTTCGACTTAATGAGAWGCTGCACTTTTGTCAAGAAAAATTAATTAGCAGCTTCAACCCCTTCATATGCCAGGCTGGTATTTTTTCCTCATCTCAGTATTTAGGCCTCTGGGTTATTTTTTATTTTTTATTTTTTATTTTCTGGTACCGGGGAACTTGTTGTGTCCTCTGCTCCTCCTCGGTCCTTGAAGTGATGCTGATGTGGACGTAATGCTGTGTGACACATGGAGTCTTGAAGACACGGGAGGTTCAGAGCCATGCAGGCTTCACTACGGTTCACCGGCACAGCAGAGGATCAGAATAAGCTCGCTGCGCTTGTGTGGACAGCCGATGATCGCAGTGCACATGTAGCCCGAGCACGTGTGGCTCCCCCTCCCCCCCTCCACGTTGGTGATGTCAGACCCTGTACAGTACGCCAGCGTTGGCAGTGCGTGTGAGCCCATCCTCCACTCGGAGTGCCCTGCATCATCATCATCATCATCATCATCATCATCTATAAAACTGCTTCGAGGTGTTTTAGTGTTTAAAGTAATAGTTGAGATCTTTTGAAATGGGGTTCTGTGGAAATGTTATGACTAGTCAGTATCTTACCTGCTTTGGATAGCTTTTTGGACAGCCTTATTTCTGACTGCATTGAAGAACTAGTGGCTATTCTGAGCTTGAGTTAGACAGTATTGATCTTTTTCATACTACCATATTATCTTTAGATAATACAGCAAAATAGGGCATTCACAGGCAGGGAAGGGTTGGGCGTGGGGGGGGTCTGTGGTCTGTGGCATGATGAGTTACTTGCTCTCTCTCTTGCCATCTCTCCATCACTGCCAAACTTCATTCAACCTAACTTTGACAGCTTTTTATCTTCTTCTTCCTATAGATTTTTTGGCACTTGTCAAATAACTTTAGGCCTCGGTCAGAGAGGAGGGTTGGGGTTTTATAGCTGGAGAGATGGATGAGACTGATGGTGGAATGAGCTGTTTTTTCCATGAGACTACCGTTTCATCATCATATAGGATGATCATGTTAAGAAAAAAACAGTGTATGCCAATGTATTTATCATAACTCTGGTTTTATTGGTCCTATTGACACGATTTAAAAACTGATATAGTTTTTAAATCGTACATTTTGACAACTCTACTTGACAAATTGAAACAGTGTTTCAGAGAAGGCTTGTATTTTTGGCTAGAGCAATTTAAATATATCATGTGACTAGGCTTCAGAGGGTTATTTTACAGTCATAGTTTTTAAAGACGTCACCATATTACAATACAGAGGTATACTACAATACTGTCTTACTACACAAACTAGGGATGCACCGATATGAAAATTCCAGCCGATATCGATATCCAATATAATTATAGCTATTATGGCCGATAACCGATATTTACAGATATTACACAAGCACACAAACTACTATACATATTTGCACAAATACACTTGTTTTTTTGATACCGTAAATAAATGACCAGACCTCTGACATGGCTCTACTTCAGTTATTCCTGGCTGTGCAGCGTCAGTTTCATTATCATGGTCAAACAGATGCCGCTCAACCAACCATCCCCCCTCCCAAAACAGAAACACAAACCTAAAAATCGACCCAGTTTTACATATCGGACCAAAACCGATATTCTAAAAAATGGCCAATATCGGCTGATACCATATCAATGCCGATATAATGTGCATCCCTAACACAAATCATGTCTGAGCAAGACCAAAGTGGATTGCTGCTAAAAACAAGTCCAGTTTCAAAAAGTTCATTAGAGTTTTACAAACTTTTCCATTGCTGTCAAATTCATATACATGGTTATTCAGACAGAAATGTTATATTATCCCTGCTAGAAGAGCTACAGCTAGCTGCTATTGCTGCCATTTGTTCTTGAAAATAATCATAGAATTCTATGTAAATAGCCACGAACCAATATGAATGTTTGAGATTTAAACCATTTAATGGCAGCACAAGTTAGGGCTGCACAATATTAAGAAAAAGAAACATTCCATTTTTTTTACTAACCCTGTAATATTGCAATATTGGACAAATACAAGAATGTTCAACAGATGACTTGAATAACACTTTAAGTTCTGCTTCATCAACATCCTTGTTGTCCTTATAGCTTTTTAATTTGACACAAAGCCGACTGCTTCCACCAGTGGAAGCAAACCAGTCAAAATAAAAGTTGTATTATGCAACCATTTAGTGCCATGACTTGTGGTTTAGTCCCTAGATAAGCCTCCTACATTGCAGGACCTGCAACATGACTATTGCGCACAGGTACATTGCGATAATGATGCTCAAATGGTATCGTGCAGCTCTAGCACCAGTCCTCTTTGAACTATTTTTTAGCTCATCGCTTTCTCACAACAGGCGAGTAATAACCACAACCCATCTACAGAGCCCCCTTGAAAATATCTAAACGATCCCTTTAAGCACACACCCACAGTCGGCAAAACTCCCACAATTTTCCAGCATTACCCATGATCTTTCTGCCCGCTGTGTTTTACTCCATTCCAGTTTAATACCACATCTCTACGCTCATTTAGAGCGAGAGTTATTAAAGGGTTTGATAACCAACATGAGCTGAGCTGTAAACATTCTGTACTTACGCGATTATGCCAGTGCAAGAGTCATGAGAAACCCAGCAACACAAAGCACAAGAAGCAGGGTCACCTTGTGCTGAACTTGAAAACTTTGATCAGTAGAGTCCTATCTGACATTGTATCAAGTGTTGCCTGTTTATCCTTACCATCCAATCCCTGTCAGTGTTTATTGGCAGTGTGTGCTGCCTGGGACACCGCAGATGCTTGTAATGAGCTTATGCTGTAGCTTTACCAGCTGTTTGATGTGATGCTGTTCGGGTCAGAGTGAGTTAATGGAGGGGGGGCAGGATGCTGCTGGATTTGACACGGATCTCAGGAGTGGAACGTGTTCGTGCAGAACGCCACCCGTGTGTTTCTAACTCGCTTCCAGCGAAACAGCCAAAATGAAACTCTTGTCAGATATTTTGGTGAAGTGTAGTAAATCACCCAGACTGCAACATGCGTTCAGTTTGACGGATGAAAGACGAGAAGAAAAACATCATGATTTAAAGGCTGTATTTGGTCAACTTGTAAATGAGGTTATGCTTGATTTCATGCAAGCATTGCAAAATGTTTGAGCTCTTGGAATAGGGGTGATTCTCAGAACCTTCCTCACCAAGTTTTGGCTTAATATCCTAAAAACCGGTTGAGTTAAAGTGAAGTTGTAGACACAGTGAGTACTTTTTGAAAGTTTCATTAAAATCCACGTTTGTTTCATGAGTATTTTGGTATCTATACACCCCCAAAAAAACTTTATTGCTCTTTTCCCTTCCATTATCAGCATCTCCTCTCTCTGCAGGAACTTTTGCGAGCACAGAGGCATTTTGGGAATGTTGTTCTTTGAAGCAGGTGATGACTGATTTTATCCCTCTGTCTGCTGGGTAAGACAGACACAGGCAAAGCTCGACCCTTTCGTAAAAATAAACCCATCTTGGCAGGTGGTGTTGATTCTATCGCGCTCTGCGTCTGCAGCATGTTTCCCTGTGACGTACTCAATCAGCTGTTGGGTGTAGAGGAGTTAAAAATAAGGGTGGGGCGGTCGGGGTTGTGTGTGATGAGATCACCTTATTCTCCGAGGTTTTTATGGGTCGACATGTTCTAGCAGATTTTAAGGGCGTGATGCTGATCCTCATCAGGCCTCGTCAGGCTTTTTTCCACAAAGCTCCAAACTGAGCTTAAGGACTGGAAACTAAAATTTAAAACACACGTCAGATTTGTTTATATAAAGAGATTTTTCTTTTCAGTCTAAATTTGCAATGCGTTTGCAAGGACAAAAGTTTAATTTAATAGGACCTTATGTACAATCCCGATGACCCACATACAAGAGCTTGCCATAACGACTGACCCTGCTTGTGTGGTCATGGACGAGTGTGTCTGTTTGTGTGTGCTTGTGTCCTAATGGAAGAAGACCCCCGGGGGAAGGACGGTTAAGAGCGATCACCCACCCAAACCACCTGACACAGTCCTGCTGAGGGCCGTCACGACCCATTATCCTCCATATGAACAGACACTAACACGAACAAATAAAGAAAAGTCCTTTAAAAAGTAACCTGCTCAAATTTTGTAGCTGTTATTTGGAAAAACGTGGCTCAGTCTCTAAAGGCGACGATGAATCTTTGTGTTGTTGCTGTCGGGTTGATCAGTTATTGGAGACTGAAGTGCAGGTCTGTGTCTCCGCATGATGTCATTCATTGATTTTTACCGCTCTGCTGTGGCCACTAATCTTCCAGAGTGATGCGTCTGTCGATCTAATCATCAGGATTAGTGCTCCAACCTGAGAGACGCTGAGGTTTGGTGCCTGATTGCAGCTTAATTTGAAGAGGGCTAAAATACATAAAATGATAAAGACAAGACAAAAGTACATCATAGTAGGCTCTAAAACTCTTTCATAGTTTTTTAGTGAGTTACATTTAAATCTCTTCTCCTTTCATCCACTTGTTCGGTTTCAGTTCGTTGATGTGGACGAAATCTTCCTGAAATCTTTCTGGGACAACKTGTCTGAGTATTTCTCGTGTTGTAATCCAAGAATCTCTTCCCAACAAAGGAACTGATTCTTCGTCTGACTGTGTCTCTTAGATTAACATGTGATTCATTTTCTCAGAAATGGCATTACTGGGAAAAAAAAAAGGAAAGAACAACAGATTCAATTAACTTGTGTTGTGTTCTGTGTGCAGGGCTGGAATCGATGATGTGGAGACGGATGTGGTCGAGATCGAAGCAAAGCTCGACAAGGTACAAACTTACTTTGTTCTGTCACCGAGGAGTGTGTTCATTTCTTCCATGTCTTTAACATAGAAGATTTAAACACACTCGTATGCCTGCGTTGGTACGCAAGAGGAAGAACAACAGAGGAAGTTTTATGTTCGGTATTTTTGTTTTAATAAATTAACTACCTTCAGATATCACATTTCAACAATCTATTTAATAAGAAGAACATTTTGGTAGGATTCTTTCCAAAATGTTGCAACAAAAAATAATAATCTTGATTTTTTTTTGAGAGAAAAGTGTTTATTTTCAATGAAGCTGAAAGTGCATTTACATATAAAGTTCACTTTGTGTGGAAGCTCAGCAGGGATGGATGCCTAAATGAGATCAGGCTTCTTCAGTTAACCTAATAAGCTTGAAAGTCAGGGATAATCCAGTAAAGGACAGTGATTATAATTTAGTGTGGCTGTAGTTATCTTGCATTTYAAGGTGAATCTTGGTCAAGTCTTAAAAGAACCAAACTCTTAATTTTGCACATTCTGTAAATTATCCATCCATTCACTAATCTTAACCTGATAAAAATACAAGGTTTATTCTTCGTATTGTAGCTTATCATTCTGAAACAAAGATGCAGCTCATTCTGAAACAAAGATGCAGCGCCTCTATCTTTTAAATCTTTTAAATCAGCAAGAAAACAGAAAATAAAATAGTTTTTAAAAAATAAGCGTATTAGTGAATTATTCCTGCAGGCATTCAGGTCAGGACCCTCTGCTGAACTCTCAACTCATTTGAGTGCTGCCGACAGATTAAWAAGGTCAAAGAGGAGAGTTTTAAGAGGCTTCCGTCTGGGTTATTTGTTTTGTTCAGCAGACTCTTGAGTTTGAACTAAAGCTGTCTGCTTTGACAGCAATGACGGCTCTCTGAGGAGAGAAATGAGATTTGTGAAAAGTGAAAATCTGACAGGTGAGAAAACATTCCCAGTTTTCCAGCCAGTGAGCTAAAATTAGGGAATATTATAGTTTTTTGCCCTTGGTAATCATTTATTGACATTGTCAGAGAGGGTTTGGTAATTTTTTATGTGTGGTATTTACATACTCAGCTCTACTGCTCATTCCACACAGGCGTGTTCCTAACAAATGCGGCACTATTTAAAAAGAAATTAACAGGCTTTCAACAATACAAGATTTAATGCAAAGGAGCAGTGGTGGGCAGCTCTAATTCAAAAGTTAGTTTCCGCATATTCTGAAGAGCTAGCAAAATTATTTAGGTCCGCACGTTCTGACGCRCATAAGCTCAATAAAACTTAGCGGAAGCTAAATCTAAAGCACAAATTTGTCTCAGAGTTTACAAGAGTATTTTCCCGCAATAACTTGTGCCATACTTCCATGATACTGCCAACTAGGGGCACAACAGTGTATTTTCACAGCATTGCACATGATGCCACAGTTTGGGGAGGTGATTTATTGAAACAGACTTTTGGCTCAAGGTGTTAAATAAACAGTTGTTGTAGATTGGTAGTTCTGCTGCTTCTTGGTCATTTTCTTATGTTTGCAGGATGTATAAGTTATTTTAAACTGTTTATTGAAGAACTGAAGTGATGCATTCAGGGTACAGGATGGAGAATAGGAAACACCCCCACCCTCTGAAGTTTACCTCACTGTGTGTGTTTTGTTATGGGCAGGTGTTCAATGGGCTGTTGAGTTTTTTTTTTTTAAAGATTTGGTTTTACTGATCGGTCGTTATTTATTTATTTATTTATTTATTTATTTATTTATTTATTTATTTATTTATTTATTTGCCGTGGTGAACCTCGAAGAGGAGGTACAAACTGCACAGCTGAGCGTGGTTCTGTGTGGTTGGAACCTGGAGACACACTTTGGCCGAACCGCAGATCAGAACCGCAGCAGGTGCACCGATGGAGAAGGGCTGGGACAGGGAGTTTCGCCCAGTGATGTAGCTCCAACTGCTTCCTGCCACACAAAGAATTGTGGGAACTCTCACTTAAATGAAAACCATCACCCAGAAAGACAGTCAGCCAAGAGTATATAGCTCTGTGAACAAACGACGGTTTTTCATTTTACTGACCCAGGGGTCGACATAACCATTGTTTAGGTTGTYTGAGTCAACCTATTTTCATTTCAGACAACCAGATCCCGCCTCCAAGTTGTCCAGTGGACAACCAAGAAAAAAGCAGCGGGTGCTCATTATTGTAAAAATGAACAGGGAAAAAAACTTGTTAAAGCCATCTAGGGATTAAACTGATTTTCCTCTAAAATCACAGAGTTCTCTGAGTCAGCTTCAGGTGCTTGTCGTTAATCATAATATCTTCTAAATTTATCCAGGTGTTTCAATGCATTTACATTACACAACACTTATAGTGGAGAAACTTGTCAGTTTGTTTAAAAATACTGTAAAAAATAAATTATGTTTTTCTATGCAGAGAACTTCTTGTGCTATAATTCTTTTTAATAAATACATCAAAGCTTCTCAGTTGAAAACACTAAAATGAGCTGTTTAAATCCCCTTTATCCAGAAAGTCTTCAGTCCTAAGAACTCTAAACTGTAGCTTTAATAAGATCAGGTAGACAGTAGGCGATACTACTATTTAAATTAAAATGTTTGTCCTGTGAGCAGGAAGCTTATGATTGTTGGATGTTGATTTTTGCTCTCTATTTCAAAGAAGAGGATTAGGAGGAGTTTTACTCAAGCAGCTCCTGAAACTGTTAACCTGCTGACCGAGAACATTTGTATACAGTAAACTTCGTATACAGAACAATATAGGCCAGTGGTTCCCAAAGTTGGGGTCGGGACCCAAAGTCGGGTCCTGAAACATCAAGGTTGGGTCCTGAAAAGATTTTCTAAATTAATTACATTTTTGCCTTAGTTGCCTAAAATGTGTAAATGTAGAGTAATAAATATTGTTACTTTGCCCATGTTTAGTTGACCTGATACAAATGTTTGTCATCCAAAAATAGTTGTGGGCACAGGTCACTGCTACTGTTATTTTGTGGGTCAAAGTTGAAAAGTTTGGGAACCACTGATATAGGCTACCTATTCAATTACATTTTAATTGAGTTTGTTTTTTTTTTTTTTTTGGACAACCAAAATGTTTTGCGGACAACCAGATTTTGTCAACAGGTTGTCCGCTGGGCAAACTGAAAAAAATCCTTATGTCTACCCCTGACTGACCAGAGATGGCTTCCTCTTTCCACTGTTAAAGATAATTATGATGAAAATTTAATGTAACAAGTGGTACTACATTGTTTTGAGTTTATACTGCTCTTTTTCCTTTGCTGTAGAAAATAATAAAAATTCAATGAAAAGTTTAGTTTAGCGGTACTCAATTTTAAAATTAGAAAGTGCAAATCTGCACACCRTGTGAAAAAAATAATAAAATTCCTAAACACAAATGTGAAATTTTGGTTTGAAATTAGCACTTTTGCGCCTTAGGGGACTACTGCCCACTGCCAAGGAGCATTGTTACTACAAAGAAATAATCTACCAAACAATAATTTCCTTACTCTTTGTTTAATGGTTTTACTAACAATGAAAACATGCAGATTGTAATGGTCTGTTTCTCATTTTGATCCAGCCTTTTAACACCTCAGTTTCCTGTGGAGTCTCTGTGTGCGTTCTGGTCACTTAACCCTGCAGGGCCCGTCACGCTCTACCAGATGTGACGTTTTGGCCTTGAGCAGAACCTTGTTGTTCTTCGAGTCCATTTATTAACAAATCCAGACACTGGAGGGGCTCAGAGCTGCACACAATTAGCTCAGATTCACATGTTTGTTGACACCTCTGCATGTCATTAGACCTGCCTTGGAGGTGCAGTGACGGCGCGCTCATTTGCGTTTTCTCTGAATTAATTGGCCTAAACGAGCATTTTTTTCAGCGCACTTTAAGACGAGATGTTCTGCACACGAGCGTGCACATGTTCACCCACACTTTAAGTCAGCAGCTCGCTTCTAGGAGTGTTCATGTCGTGGGTCTGCACGCAGTAAATAACTCGCTGCCAGCCTTCCAGTAAAACCACACTCGCATAGCGACGACCATGGGAACTCCTGCTCTAAATGAGATAATTAAAAGGCTTTCTGCACTCTCTCTTTAGCAGAAGCCCCCCTCGCTCCCTCCACTGTTTACCAACTCACACATGCGCATGTTTGGTTGCACTTTTGCACACAGCTGCATCACTGTGGTGGTAATGCCGGCATAAAACTCTCTAACTTATCCTATTACCCCCTGAAGTAGGGGCGTGCAGCCGCTGCCACCTCATGTGGTGTCGGCGAGCGTTTGTACGTCACTGTGAGCTGCTTCTATACGTTTGCAATTAGCAGTTTATGGTTAACGTTTTCATTAAGCGGCTGTGAGAGAAACCTATTATAAAGGATTGTCTCTGGAATAAATGTGTGCTATTTTTACATAACTGCTCAAAATCTCAGAGTTAAATGTGCCCTCTGTACTGTAGTTTGTGATATTACACACTTTCTTTGTGATGCTAACCACTGAAATACAATGAAATGGACACTTATGGTGCTAGTTAGTGAGAATATACCCTTTTGTACAGTAATTACAGTATTTTCAAGAGGGGAAAGAAACCATATAAATTGCAAAACAGACATTTAATCTGGAATAACACACAGAACACAGCTCCTGCCTGGGATGCCGAATAGCCTTAATTAACATAGACAGACATAGATGAATAACTTTATGTAAATTGTTTGCAACAATTGTAAGGATTTCTTTTTACCCGAGTTCAACTAAACAACATCTGCAGCAAGATACCAAAAAAAAAAAAAACATTACAGTACCAACAGCGAGCTAACATTAGCTACTATTAGCTTACCGTTCTCTGTCATTCTGCCGTCTCGTCATCAGCGTCATACTGCTGAATGGTCCGATTGCTTACCTCTGCTTTTTGCCAGTCCCCTCACAAGTTTCTCAGTAACTCCAAACTTCTCTCTAGTGCTCATTGTTTTTTTTTTTTGTTTGTTTTTGTTTTTGTTTTTTAACCTGGTAAGCTTCAGGAACAACATAAACCACAGGTGTTACAAGCCTAGAGCGGCCTCTCACGGCTCTAGACTTTAACATGTACTCCTTGGTTCATGTCAGTCATTATGAACGAAACATGCCCAGCAGCCCAGTCTATAGAGTGATGACCCCTGGTGTAATTGTTTAGTATGTTGTGCTGTCCTTGAAGTTCTGGTTCTAATTATTAAGGTTGTTCATTGGCTAGAATTTGGTGACATGATAAATTTCATGAAACAGTGGTCGTGATAAATTGCGATACTGTAAGCAAAGCAATATATTACCATTTTTTTTCTCCAAAAGATGCTAATTTTATATCAGCTCAAACTAACCTTTTAGCTATCATTATACAGTAGTCTCAGGCCCCTTAGGAGTGGAGGCTGGCAGGAAGGTTTTAAACCGAAATTAAAAATCAATACAGTGTTTTAGAGAATTGATACAGGGGAAATGAAATATTACAATATTTCAGTGTATTGATATTTCTGTGGGATAAATCTTGTGCCAGCAGGAATTGAATTTGAATTGCTCAGATTGAATCTGAATGTGCATAATTTGAAATTGAATGCATTGGCTTGAAAATAAATTTAAACTGAATTTAATGATTTGAAACTGAATGTAAAGTTTTGAATTTGAATTAATTTGCTTTGAAACTGTATTTTGGTTTATTAAAAATTCAGTTTGACAACGTTCACTTTCAGTACCATAAATCAATTTTAGTTCCAAAATTTAGATTTTTGTGTCACACATCCTGGTCCTTGAGAAAGCCAGCCAGAGTAATCAAACACATCCACAGATTTGTGTTTCACTTCAGTGAAACGTCCCTTCTGTAATGTAACAGAGTTGATGCAATCCACCGTAAAAGTGACAAAAACAAACAGTTATTTTATTGCAGTGATTAATTTCACCTACATGTAGAAAATGTTACATTTACATCCCATCATGGATCAGTCAGCAGCAGCATCTGATCAATATGTGATCCATGATGTGATAGATAATATTCATGGCACCATAACAGCTTGGAGGTAGCTGTATTTATTAAAGCTCTGACATGTTATGAATGATGATGCTGTGGATCCTCTGCTACAGGAATCCTGGAACAACAACGTTTTACTGCTTTAGCAGAGAAGTTGAAGGAGGTCACGTTTTAGGTCATGGGGTCTTGTTTTATTGCCATGTTTTGAAGGGCAAAAATAGCAGAGGAAAGAGATGCCATTGAAAAAAAGAAAAAGCATGTTTGCCAGAAATTTAGTCAAAAGTGACAAACATGAGAAGATGTTTGCTCATGGAGTCTGCACCTTAATTAGTAAGCCATCAAGTCATCCCTTTAATTAAGTTTCAAAACTTAAAAAAAACAGTAGATGCCAATGTAATTGGGGACATCTGTGACGATGGAAAATGACTTGTAAGCACAACCAAATTTGAGGTACTTTAAAGGTTTAGGTAGGTCTGGTTTTCAATTACCGACAATATGTTTAATTTATGCTGCTTTGTTCTTTTGTTCTACAGTTTTAGTCTCACATTACTTTTAAATAAATTGTTTAAAATGACAAATCAGATTTTCATAAAAAGTCTGGTTGTATGTGGTTCTTCTGAGGAGTTGGTGTCTTACGTTCAGTAGGAATCACAATTTCACTTTGGAGGATCAGGAAGAAGTGCTCCTCTTTCTTACTATTGGTTTATTGTAAAATGTTTTGTCCAAATGTTGAAACAGCAGTTAAACATGACCGTCCCTTTAAGTTCATATTATAAGATTATAAATTATTGTTATAAATACCAGCTGATTAAGGTTTCAGATTTCTGCAGAAAATATTTTTATGAACTTGGATGTATTTGTGGATGCTGATATAATCCCAGCTGCTCCATGCAGTTATTGCTCTCTGATCATCTCTTTTCATTTCATCCTTTTAATTTTCACTCTCGTTTGAATTCTCATTATGATTTCATGATCCAATGAGGATTAAGTCCTAATTTGAGTGTCTTCTCATATTAAACATGCGACTAGTCAATCTTTCAAGCCTTGTTTGATTCATCACTGTGTCTAATAATATCCTTGCAATGTTTTGTGTGAAACTCTTTAAATAGACAACGGTCTTGTCACAAAATAAAAGCGATGTCTTTTTTTWTTCTTTCTGCTCCTCGTTAGTTGGTGAAGCTGTGCAGCGGGATGATAGAGGCTGGCAGGGCCTACGTCAGCGCCAACAAGCTCTTTGTTAACGGCATCAAGGATCTGTCCCATCAGTGCAAGAAGGAGGAGATGATTTCTGTGAGTGGAAACGACTCGGATTGCTTCACCCGCTGATGAATGTTTCCGGACTATTTGGTCCTCTTCTGTCTTCATAAACACATTCCAGTGATCCTGCACAGAATTAATATGAGTAAAGTTGTTTAAAGGCAGATGTTGAATTGTCCAGCTGTTGTGGGGATTGCCACTTTAGACGGGAAGTGTTTACAGAGAGTTTTTTTTTTTTTAGAAAAGTTATTTGAACTGTATCTGTATGTAAGTTACCCCTGGCAAACAAGTACACATTTTTTTTGTCACAAAAGATACATTTCAGCTTTCACACAATTATCTTCTTGTTTTTTGTACTTTTTTTTCCAATTTATAAATGTCTGCATACTTTGACCTATTTTAGCCATTCAAAAAAATCTGAACATTCAGCTCATTCAGGAGATGGGCACTATAATCATAAATATATGATT